GGCATCAACGACTCTCATTCGTCCTCCAGCACCTTCGAGTAACATTGATTTATCGCTGAGTATAACTGCAATTGCTCTGTAATTTGCAATAACTCCTCTATTCACACGAGCTCGAAATTTAATGTCAACGATAGACTGTCTAAACAAATCCAAATGTTCCAGCGAAAAATAATAAATCGGATAAAGCGTGGTAAAATCCTGCTGAGATATTTGTAAACCGGTATCAACATTTTGATCACCCCCCCATGAACGACATTAAGCGATGATACGCACGAGCAACACTGTTTTGATCGAAATTTAATAATATATCCTCTGATAGTTCTTGATGTCCATTTATTCTTAGTGAAACCTCAGCAACACCGAGTCTATCAAATGTCATAATACTACGTATTTGTGAGTTTACTCGTACAGCATCTTGAAATGCAATAAATATATGCCTTGGTGCAGAGAAACCTTTCTGTGATGCTATGTAAATAAACCATTAATGTAACTTTGGAAAGCATCTGTGGTCATAGTCAACCATGACAACGTTTATCTACCACCTTGATCCATGAAAGAGAGTAACCGTTTTTTTTTGGTGATCGATGGAGTCATTGTTGGCATACACAGCGAAAGTTTGGTCAGTATAACTTTACCATGAAGTGCCCTAGTTGCAACATCATCAGCTCCTTCGGCGTGCCCTATTGCATCATCATCGGTACCTTTTCGTACGAGTACAGCTGTATGTTTAGCTCCAAAAATAACCTTTCTAACACTTCTACAAAATCCAAAAATATGTGACAATGGAATTGCACATGAAAATCTTTCATCGTCACCAAGCATTGCTCGACGTGATGCAAATCCCAAGTTAAAATTTTCATTCATCGATGCAACTTCAGTTCCAGCTGCATTTAGTGTTACGTTTCTACTTTCTGGATGATCAGTTGCATCTTTGGCAAACATCATTGATGGACCAGCTGATCTTGAATAATCATTGCTGTATCTGGCAAGACCAAGTATTGTTGTGGAGACATCGATGTTTTCATGACAAATCTCAATCTCTCGTCCATCAATCATATACGCGGCACTTTTGAATAACGCCATAATACCATTATTGACAAAACCAACTCGATCGCCAATTTCGTAATCTGTATTATTTAATTTTAAAAGTCTACCTTCGACTTCAATAAATGCCTAAGCGGGTAAGAAATATCTGCTTGCATCCTGAACTTGTAATTCAATTCTTCCACGCTCGTCAGTTACACGTGCATCATAAGAATAATACTGATAATCGCGCACAGACTCATCTTTGAGAACTGGTGCGTCCATGTCAAACGCGGAATCAGATATGCGCTTGAACATCTTTATTATTATCATCTTCATCTAACACGAAGACCACTTCGGGAAGTCAGACCACTTCCTGCTATGAGACTAGCGGTTATATTTTTTTTCTTTTCCGACATTGGGACATCAACTAACTCCGCTAGTTTTTGATTAGCGACTTGATTTATTATTTTACTTACACTTGCGGACATTACTTCAGTGCTAGGTAATTTCACTGGTTGAGGTCGGACGGGTTGTGGTCTGCGTATTAATTGCGTTAGTCTATCTTTGATCGCTGAGAATGCTTTGCTAGCAAGATTGCCAGCAACGTCTACACCTTTTTCACGAACAACATCAGTAGCTTTCATTCCTAGCTACTTTGCAATAGGTATTACTTTTGGGGCTATTCTTCTAAACAAACCCTGAACGATATCGCCTAGTCCATCTCCATAGGTTGCTTTGTATAGCGGTAATCGAGAGTTTATTACCCTGACCATGGTAGGTCCACGTTGAGTACCATGCACGATCATTGTCATTATTAATTGTCTTTATCAGTGAGGATTTTCAGTCGATCAACATCTGCAAGAACATTATTGGGACAAGTAATAAGACCACTTCCTAAGCCACTTCCAGTTGCACCAGGAGGGTCTTGAAATACTTCTTCTTCCTCTTGTCTTGGTTTTTGTGATGATGGTAATCTGACTTGTGGTGATGGTGTTAATTCTGAATAATCACGAAATCATTGCTCAAATGGTTTTGGTGCTTTTTGGCGTCGTCGTTGTAGCTTTTGTTGTTGCAGTAGTGGTTGTAGTTGTGGTATTGCTCTCTCTGGTGATGGTAATTTAAGTTCTGGTGATGATGGTCGTGATTGCAATAGTTTCATTGTTTCTTGTCGTACTTGTTCTCGTTGTTCAACCTCTTTTATATATTTACATCTTCGCCAAATCTGTTATAATCTCTATATTCTTCATTAGATCTGATTTCTGGAATATCAGTAGCGATGCGATATACATCCTTGATCCACTTGGAAGAGCTTAGAGATTTAACATGTTCTGGTTTTACATATTTTTTCTTCCATAATATCCAAACGCGGCAATATCAAATAATTGATTTGGATCCCTGATAGCAGCAATACCTTCAGGCGTAAATTTATCTATTATCTTAGTTTTGGCTTTTTATGGTTGTGGAGGTTGAACGGGTGGTGGTTGTGGTGCTTGTGGTAGTGGTTGAGCTGCTTGAATACGAGCAATATCGGCAGGCAATTTTGCAAGAGCTTGTTGTGTTGCTTCGGTTGCTGTAACAATTTTCTTCGTTGGTTCTACAATCGGTTTAAATAATTGTTTTGTATCTCCTCAAATTCAGCTAGAGATTTCTGACGCGATTGTAGTTGTTCCTTAACAGAATCACGAACAGGTAGATATATTTTAATTGCCTCTAGTCGCTCTCGAGCTAATTTAGCTGAATGTGATTCTCCAATACTCATTATTGATAATATTTATACTTGCTGTTTAATTTATAGCAGCAGAGTGACCACGAGCAAATAAAAACATAGTCAATTAGAGAAGTTTCATTGCTAAAGCAAAAACATTTTTTAGCCTTCGTAGGAACCCTTAATTTTCAAAAATAAGATAAAGTTATCTGCTCGCTTCTCATCAAAGTTATTTAACAAAGAGAAGAGCAGCAGAGAGGCTGTGTACTCAATGATTGAGTTCATCATTTGTGTCCGTTAATGAGAACAAACGATAAAGAATAGCCGTTGGGACAAAAGGTCCGCCTGGCACAACCTTGTAGGGTTCAACCTCTCTGCTGCTAAAGCATATGTCAGTGATTCTCGGTAAATTACGTTTTATTGACAGTCTGAAATATATGTCAGCATTATTAGATGAGCTTGTTGAAAGGTTATAACAGTTAATATTCTGCGAAATTGCCTTGGCGAAAACTGTCAAACTCAAGAAAAGGGTATCTTTACGTACGAGTATCTCAACGATTGGAGAAGATTTAATGAAACTTCTCTGCATGAGAAAGATTAATTTTACTCGCAACTCAAAACTGAAAATATCACAGATGACGAGTACAAATATGCGCAATATATTTGGAAAATTTAGTTGTAAAACATTTGGTGATTATCACGATTTATATTTGAAAACATGTATTGCTAGCAGATGTTTTGAGAGTTTTCGTCAGGTTAGTCATACAAATTATGGATTAGACCCCTCTTGGTATTATTCTGCTCCCGGTGTTAACGATGGTGGTTTTGTTAGTATGAAAATACTTAATGAAAATCTTGCTGCAATACAACGACTAACGACAAATTTAGAGATAAACAGACAACTTCATGTTGGTGCAACTGTACTTGATGTATCTAAGTGACTGATGGATGATTTTCAGTATAATTTTACCAAAAACCAATGACTAGATTCAGAGCTGCTATTTACTGATACGGACTCGCTAGTTTACAATATAAAATTTGAAAACTTCTATCTAGATATTTACAATAATAAAAATCTATTTGATTTATTATATTATCCAACATGTAGTGGATTTGAAGATAATTCAAATAAGAATGTTATTGGAAAAATTAAAGATTAATTTATGTTTGTGCCGGTTAGAGAGTTTGTTGGATGAAGAAGCGAAATGTATGCTGTCATATCAGATAATAATAAACTTACAAAGAAAGCTAAAGTTATCCCTTGCAGATATGTGAAAAATATTATGAATTTTGACGATTTTAAAACAGCTATAAACAATAGCGTCAGTTTTATTGAAACTGATATAAAAAAAAATCATCATAATCTCGAAACGAATACATTTATATAGCGTGGACTATGTAATTTCGATGATAAAAGGTATTGCAATGACGGAATCAATACAATAGCTCTTGGATATTATGCAAGTAATTGAGTTAAAACATTGGAAATAATAATCCCATTGACATCTCTCACTTAAAACAAAACTTTTTCACCAGTTTCTCTGACAGAAAACCCTATCCCCCAAAGACGGAAGAAGAAGACAATGGGAAGAAGACGGAAGAAAACAATCGGAAAAAGTGGTTGGTTGGTTGTTGTGAGGCTTAACATCATTTTTCAACACACGATAGGCTATACATGGCGGCCAGTATTAATGGTGGAGGAAGAAACCGGGAAATCTTAGGAAAGAACCACCGACCCACAAAAAGCTACTTGCAAGCTTTTTCACATATCCACATTCGCCGAATCTTAGACTCAAACCCACGCAGACACAGGTGAGATGGCAGTGCTCAGTAACGGAGAGCGCTTTAGACCACTCGGCCACTCGGGGCCCCTGGGAGAGAACCCCATTCCCTCAAGACGGAAGAAGACAATGGGAAGAAGACGGAAGAAAATAACCGGAAAAAGTGGACTGAATGACAGATCATTGTCAGATATTGCCAAATCAGAATCAGATCAGCTGTTCAAAGCTAGATTCGAAAGACATGTGCATTCAAGTATGGAATCTGGAGCACTAATAAGATAAGACAGGAGACAATGGATTACAATTATAAAAATGCCAGGAGACGTGGCGGAACGGTGGCTGTTATGATAGCCAACTACATTTTGCTCATACAAAATGTGGTTATTAATAATCTCCGCGACGATAACGCCGACAGCCATGGGAGAGGGACGACACGCATATACATTAATTACTTCCATTGTAATTGTTACAAAAAAAAATACCGCTCCGGTGGCTTAGTAGTTAGAGCATCCACCTCGGATATGGGAGGTCGTGGTTTCGATCCCCGTCTTAATCATACCAAAGACTTACAAAAATGGTACTAACAACGGCCTCACTGTACGAAAACACCAGACTGTTAGGGACCAACACGGCATTTTTTTTTTTACGGCTATTATGCAGCAGGATACATTTTACTTATGACCAAGGCAGCGACGAGGGACATTTTTACCCTAAAAAATCTCGCCAACTTCGTGTGGAACTTCAATTTGTACAAACTGTTCTCAACACAGTGAACATCGTCTTGTATACAGAATTCGACAATTCAGTGGTAAGTAAAAGCTTGAGAGAAGTAATTCTATACTATTAGAAGCTAAGGAAGAATTATATCATTCTTTAGAATGTTAGCCTCTTTGGAGATGGGGACGAGGATATCCTTGAACCAAAACAAAAACAAGAGTAAAGAATAAGACATGTAGGACATCATGATGTCGAGATGGCCAGAATGAGAAGAACATTTAGTCTTCTGTTTTGCTAAACACCGGAGTGAAAAAAATTACAGTGTTGACCGACGAGTATTGTTATGGATGTAAAAATGACCAACCCAGTCAAATTCAAGGCGATAAATGCATGATAATGAGCGGAAAAGAAAAATTGGAGAAGTATCTAAATGACGTTGGGGTCTCATCTCGGAAGGAAGGGTGTTGCATCAGTGATATAAAGACTTGTGTGACTATTTCTCCCCTCCATTGACTTTTCTGGAGATCCAACGCATCGATGCTCTCTTTCCAAACAAATACGGAGATATATTATTTACGCTGCATATATTCGATATATATTTTTAAAAGAAAAAGTTACTATTGAATTGATGACATACTATCATCTGTGAAAAAATGGACACCCTGGGAACTTCACTGCCTTCTGACAAACAGTTCAAACACAGCTTGAAATCCTGTCGTGTGCGCTAAAATGAACTTAAAGCGAACTTCCTCATGACAAACTTTAAGATAATCTAACCCTATGTTATCAACTGCGACGACAGTCGTCAACCAGAAACCCACTGGGTGGCCTGGCCGATTACTTTCCCAACTAATCACACTGTGGACTACTTCGATTCTTATAGATCCCCACCTTTGGAAGACATCATCGACTTTACGGAGAAGAAATTCAAAGACGACTAGATCTTTATATTTGTCTCTATCTGGTGCAGTTTTGAGTCATAATGTCGTAGGTGGGTCTTGATGCTTTCGGTTGTACAACATCCATATGCTCCTGGGTCGGCTCAAATAAAGCATGTACAGCTTTGAGTATCAGCTGAAAAATAAATAATTGGATACATTATGCAACAATAAAAGTTTGCTTTGAATTCAACTCAATATACATAATTAAAATTGTACTAACGAATTTTTTAATAGTACGGATTACTCATATAACGAAGTTTAGAAAATATCAGAGCTCATTTAAAACAGATTCTAAGTTTGCAGATATATAACTTTTAGGCATTATATTATGTCGTCCTGTTATTACCAGTTTGCCAAAGAAATTATGTAAATAATAGAATCTACCTCCTTACACATATTAACTCCAGTCAGTACACCAGTTTTAGCAGCCTGAGTATGTGCCTGGCATAACATAATGAATGAGTCACCCTGGTGTCGGATGATGACGGATAGGCAGTGACCTTATTGCGGTGGCTGCAACGCCATTATTTGTTTTGTCTCTTTACCGTATATGTCTAACCATCACTAGAGACGAATTTTCTCTTGCTTTTCTCTATTCCAATGTCGACGACTCTGTACGTAATAATATCGTTTGTCGTAGAGTTCCCCCTTTGGATGGAAACATATGTCAATAAGAAAAAGAAATGTGTCATTGCATATACCGTACATAGAGATGTGAATAAACAAACGCACTACACAGATTATCAATGGGAGAATAGAATTTGAAAAATTTTAATTATACATTTTTATCCTTCACTCGGTGTTCATAAATCATTCAGTTATGAGTATTAATTAATCATTAAAATGAGTCCGTAGTTCATTATTTTTGATGCTGTTGTAACTACGATGTCGTAGCCTCAACTTGATTTATTGTGATTGAGACTACGAACTGATCCCATATTATGTAATGGAGCAAAAAAATAATCACTAAAGTCAGAAAACAAATAGTGTAGAAATCTACTACATTAGAATAACCGTGTTGTGAAAGAAGATTGGCTTATTATGAATTTATTACGCCTTTACCCGATAAAATAAATTGGCATGGTTACACTAACCTCACCGTGTCCGCCATGGCAGATACAGTAAGAATCTCGCCGTGATCCATTTTCTAATTAAGGCTTAGCAGACCATATCTGGATATTCTACTCTATGTTATTAATTGTTGAATGACAATAACGCGCGAAGACGGAGAACGGATACTTGCCAAAATTGAGTAACAAACTTTATCAAAGCTTTTATTATGGTTTTTGTTTCCTCAAAGGAATTGCCTCGGGAAATCTTGCTGATGCACATATTATGGTCAACAAGTATTGGTTACCAGACTTGGTCTTAGGTAAGGGACCAACGCAATCTTAGGTATCTTCCCACCATTTCACAAGTATAGTATGACAAGATCTGCAGTATTTACAAACATCACTTTTAATTTTTGGCCAATAGACGTGATTCTAGATCTTGTGATCAGTCTTATTAATCCCTAAATGACCAGCTAAAGGAGTTTCATGATCCAGGCTAAGAATTTTCTGCCTGTACGATTTTTGAACTACAACTTAATATTTCACTGACCAATCGTCACAGCAGGTTCTTCGGGTAGTCTCCATTTTCTCATAAGAATCCCATTTTTCATGAAAGAATAAACAGGTACATCTGTGGCTTAATTTTCACTAATGACCATATGAAACAAACATGAGATATCAGGATCTTTTCCTGTTCGACGACAAGTGATTATTGTTTGTTACTCTAATTAGAATAAAGAGAAAGAGTAGTTAAAAGAGAATCACTGTGATCATACCTTTTGATTGATCCAAACAAGGAGTGAAAGAAACCTCAAAAGCCTGACCAATACACGTGTCGGCTAAAGAAATGCTTTCCTGATTAACATCGTTCTCAAGGGCCTTCCTTGCCATAGCACTGTTAAGTGCACAAGCTGGATATAACTTGGGAGAATTATTTTCCAATCTGATCGACTATCTGATCCAAACCAGGCTCGTCAGTTACAAGTAGATTAACCACAACCTTATCTGCAGTTACGTCATTGCCTAGCAATAAATGAATGCCCTCAGTGGATAAAGAAAACACTTTTCCGACTCTCACGAGCCATGAAACTAAGTCGGATGACAAAATTATATAATGGAAAGGAACATTAACAAAGTCGCACTCTACTCCCTGAATAGGAACACTCGGGTTAGAAGACTTATCAGAAAAAGGCAAAGTACCTGGTAATAAAAGACTCAGAAGCTCCCATGCCCCTTAAAATTTTAATAGGGATAGGACTGGCCGAATTACCCACGAGTCATATAGTACCTTTCGACATGAATCGTTCATAATTCTCCATAATAAAATCATACTGGGGTTTATTAGACCCAACACATGTGTCGCTTTCAATACATGAGCGTGACCTTGACCTCTTAGAAATAAGAGCATTTGGAATAGGTCTGTCTTGATTCTGATGCTTAATTTTCAATTTGTAGCAATCAGAACTAACGCGTTCCTTCGTCCTGCAATAGGTACACGTAGGAAGAGATAATGATTTCTGATTAATCTTATCAGAATCTTTATTTCTAAAACCTCTGCCAAATTGAAAGTTAGAAAGGCTTGTATTAAGCAGAAATATATTTTATTACCATAAGACTGCTGAGTGGAAGACCTACTGACAAAACAAACTTTATGAGCTAAAAAATACGTATCAAGCATTTGCATTTATGAGCTAAGGAATACGAATCAAGCATCATGGTTTCGATCTTATGCTCAACAAGATAAGTCTTAAATGTCACTATGGACACAATTCTTAAAGTAATACAAATTGTCTGAGACATTCATAATCTTGATCAACTTTCTAGGCTAAGCACCAACCATGGCACAACTGGTCTTTTTCTTTTGCAAATTTAAGAGGTGTTTGTCCAGCTTCTTTTTATATAGTTCTTGATATTTTGCCGATAAGCCTCAGGGACTCAATCATAACCCTTTAAGATGCATTCCGTAACCAGATCATAATGGGCACTTTGCTGTACTGACAAGGATGCATATTGTATCGGGCTTTGCCAAGAAGTGGACTCTGTAATAATAGAGTCAAATGCTTCTTTGGCCATTTCAAATTTAACAGCAAAAAAAAGAAAAAAAAAATGAGGAAATTATTTGTCTACTTCTTTTTCTCTAAAAGGGGGCGCTAACCTAATATTCTTAGTAACATCAAAACTTGAATCTTGATGTAAAGTAGGTATGTACTTACCACTTGCCAGCTCTTAATATCTTAACATAAATTAAAACTATCTTTATTATTCTTTTGCATTAAATCCCCCTCTCTCTATCTCTGTCTGTCTGTCTGTCTGTCTGTCTCTCTCTCGTGGGCTCAATCCATGTCCGATTCATACCAAAGACCTACAAAAAAGTAGAGCGTCAGCCTCGGATGCGAGAGGTCGTGGGTTCGATCCCAAGCAGAGAAATACCAAACACTTACAAACATGATACTAACAGATGCCTCGCTTGGTGGTCAGCATTAAGGGGTTAGTGTTAGGACTGGTCGGCCTTGTGTCATGAGAATGACTGGGTGGAACATCATGATACATGTCTGCGGCCTGATGCCCCAGTGCTAGACATCACTATAAACTGCCACACGTTTCATACATTGTAATTATATAGCTGAAAAAGTTGTTAAAACTACGTTAAATCTCTCTCTCTCTCTCTCTCTCTCTCTCTCTCTCTCTCTCTCTCTCTCTCTCTCTCTCTCTCTCTCTCTCTCTCTCTCTCTCTCTCATATTGCTTTTGTTTATTTTCTTTCTGTTGCTACTCTTTTTGTCTCTCTTCTTTCTCCAACAGTATTTCCACCATCTCTTTCTTCCTTATCTAATTGCATTTACATTTG